AGGATATACTAGAACATATAACTAGAGAATTTTATTTTCTTATGAATTATACTATTTTATTATGTATTTGATAATAGGTGTTTTAAAGAAAATATATTGAGGAATTGAAACTGTTTTGTCTCCTGTAGTTTTATTTTACAATAGCCATATATATTTAAAAAAACAAACAAATTAGTTAATATGAAGCAATTAGGATGGGCAAGCCAGTAAAAAGCATGTAAAGGGACAGATAAGGATATGGCAGTGTTTTCTAAACAGTAATTAAAAAATGTCAAGGCAAGGACAAAAAAAACCTCGAAGTACCAATTTCCGGAAAAGAATACTATAAAAACTAGCGGTTTCCCACATTTTGGTAATCATTATTTAGAAGACTTTAAAAAAAACAAACAAAAAAAAAAAAACAAACCTCCACCCTCAACAGAAAGAAAACATAAAATGCTTTGGAAAACCTCAACAAAAAGTGCTGAGTTCTTAAATAAACAAGAAAATTTTATTGTAAGAAATGAAAGGGTTCAATACACACAAAAATGTTACAGAAGAGAAAACAGAAGAGTATATTTTAATTGTATCCAAAATAAATATAAGAAACACTCCCCATGAAAATCCCAACATATTATTTAAATATGTTTTCATTGCTTTTTAGAGAGAGAGGAAGGAGAGGGAGAGAAACATCGATCAGTTGCCTCTCGCATGCACCCCTACCAGGGATCAAGCCTGCCACCTGAGTATGTGCCCTGATGGGTAATCAAACCTTTGACCTTTTGGTCCACAGGACAAAGCTCAACCAACTGAGCCACACTGACCAGGGTTGAATCTCTATGTATTTTAAAAGTTGAGAACGTTATTCAAAAGTCCATCTCCATAATGCAAAATAATGCTGTCAAGACGGCAGCACAGGTAGGTGCATGCTCCCATCCTCCCACAACCATCTCCAAGGCACAGCTAGTCTACAGAACAACCAGGCTTCAGAATCGCCTGAGGCCCAGCGAGCAGAAGTCCTAGAGCTGAGGGTGTGGAGGGGCAGCCACTTCAAGGCTGATGCAAGCAGGCTGATTCCACACCCACGTGTGGGGCTAAAAATTAGGAGGGATGTCTCAGCAAAGGGTCCCAGCCCCACACCAGGCCCCCCAGCCAGGGTTCAAGTGCTGGGAAGAGAAGGTCCTATAACTTCTGGCTGTGAAAACCAGCAGAGATTGTGGCTGAGTGAGGTGTGTGTGTGTGTGTGTGTGTGTGTGGGTGGGGGGGGGGGTTTCTGGAGTCTCAGGCAGTTCCTCTTAAAGGGCCTGCCCAAGGACTTACTCCAACCTGCTCCCTCTGGGTCCTATGAGGATTAAAAGAAGGAATAAGATATTGACTTTGATTTCATGTAGCTCCCACTTGATTTGAAATATAAATACATAAGAATCAATATGTTAGGGGGAAAAAACAAGATTATTTTAAAACACTTTTAAGCACAGATGGTATACTATTATGCCATTTCTATGATAAATTATCAAAGTCATACACATAAGGCACCTGATTTTTAATATAATGACACCCTTGTGAGTTTGCAAGAATGTTCTCAGTAAAATGTGTCCCAAGGAACTGACAGCAATAACTAATTCAACACAGTACATTAAGAGTATCCCCATTTTATGTAGGATGGTGTGTATGAACAAGATTTTAATTTTAGTTAGTTCCAAATATACTGCTTGCTACCTTCTGGTATAGGAGGAATCATAAGCAAAACAGAAAAGAAAAAGAAAAAACACACAAAAAAACAAAAGGTGTATCTATTTGAATTTCTCAAGAACAACACTTCTCTCTCTCCCACTTCCTTTCTCTTTGAAATCAATAAAAATATATTTAAGAAACAAAATAAAATTAAATAAAAGGAATAATGACAATATTAGATGCCTTGTTCAGATAGATCAAATCATCCGATTTCCCCTACAGTGGAGATTTGAAGAGATGTTAAGTTGATGTACATAATAATGTGAAGAACAGAGCAATCAGGAAAAAATTTACTACTGAGTTTCTGCTTTTTTGTTCGTGTGTGTGTGTGTGTGTGTGTGTGTATGTGTGTGGTGTACTTTCAGAAGAACAGATCTTGATGTGAAGAGTGTGTATGTTAGAGCTGAAGTTGGTAGAAAAGAGAGAAAACAGAGTTCTCCTTATTCAGAGATTAGCTAAAGAGGAGGATTTTGTTGTCTGTTCCTTTTGCTTTGTGGCCCAGAATCTATACTCTCTCTCATTAGACACCTGAGGAGCTCCTTTCTCAGTTTTATTAACTAGGCCTTCTTACGCAAGACTCTCAGTGCTCCATGAATTGCTGAGTGGGTGCCACCGTAAACAAACGCACAGATAACGTGTGTGGTTTGGTGATTTTGGTGGGATTTAGAGCAGTGTGTTTGTGAAGCTGGGGAAGTACTCAGACTCGAGGTAGAGGTCAACAAATGGAAAACTGGGTTTTCTGTGGAAGCAGCGGAGTCAGACTTGACCTTTAGAAGGTGATGATAAGCTTAGAGATGTGACAGGGGTGGGTAGGGAGGGTGAAATGAGTGGAGTCTAAAGGTACAAACTTCAGTGGTAAAGGAAACAATTCCTGGGGACGTGACAGACAGATGGTGACCTTAGTTCAGTGATTTTCACCCCTTCCCAGCTCAGGGCACATAAGCTTAGTACTAAAAGTCTGAAGCACACCAAGAAATACATTTTTTGCTGACCTGACAAAATAAATTGGAATAATTTTAATTTATTCACAATGGACAGATATTGTTGTGCTGGCTGTTGTCATATATATATATATATATATATATATATATATATATATATATATATATATATATCCTCTATCTATCTTGGTTAATCCTCACCAGAGGATATTTTTCCATTGATTTTTTTGAAAGAGTGGAATGGAGAGGGAGAGACAGAAAGAAACATCAATGTGGGAGAGACACATCATTGGTTGACTTCTGCACACACCCTGCAACCAAGGTACATGCCCTTGACCAGAATCAAACCTGGGACTGTTTAGCCCATGAGCTAATGCTCTATCCACTGAGCCAAGACAACTAGGGCTGCTGTCACTTTTTATTTGACAATCTGAGGGAAAAGAGGTCACTACCCCTGTCTAAAATAGTATTGCAAGCACACCGGCTGAAAATTGCTACTGCAGTTAATACTGTGTTGCTTATTTGAAAGTTGCTAAGAGAATAGATCTTAAAATTCTCATCAAAGAAAAAATTCTACAACTATGGTGACAGATGTTAACTAGACTTATTGTGATGATCATTTGACAGGATATGCAAATATCAAATCCTTATGTTGGACACCTGAGACTAATATAATGTTGCATGTCAGAAATACCTCAGCAAAAACTGAGACAGACTGAGAACATCATAAGAAGAATATTTGGCAATTTATTTTCAAATGAACAAATAATATATATACACTGAGTGGCCAATTTTTATGATCTCTGAACACATAATAATCTGGCCACTCAGTGTGTGTGTGTGTGTGTGTGTGTGTGTGTGTTAGAGGCCCAGAGAATGAATTCATGCATGGGTGGTATCTGGCAAGCCTGGGCAGGTGGAGGGGAGATAGGCCGGTTGAACTCCTGGTTGAGGGGACAATTTGCATATTAGCCTTTTATTATATAGGGGAAATCATAATAATCTGGCCACTCAATATATATATATATATATATATATATATATATATTCACTATATGCAAAATGCTACTCTAGATATTTGAGCATAAAGAAGAGAAATAATTATTTGAATAACATCCCTAATGATTTGAATAACATCCCTATTTGTAAGGAGCTTAAAATGCAATTAAAAATAAAGAATAAAGGCTCAAAAGTCTAATTAAAGCATAGAAGTCATATAACCAAAATAGTATGAAGGATAACTTGATATATTACACGATTAAGTCTCTGGATCACAGCTTATTAAACCTGACAGTGCCTGTAACATGATAGAGAGAGGTTTTAAGAAGGAAGTGCTGAGCTCTACCCCAGACCTCCTGAATGAAACTTCTGGGCAGGGCATGGAAGATCAGGGGGTTCAAATTCAGAGAAGGAGGAGGAGTTGGGGGCCATGAGACCCGGCATCTTGTACTTCCTAATGCTCCCCGGATGATCCCGATGAAAACAGCTTGGCACAGCCACGTAGAGAAGAAGTGCTGGAGGGTCCCTGTGAGTCAGGATGGCACCCTGGGCAGGCCTACTCAAACCAGGGATGTGGCGCGTAAGCCCAATGGGCTTGGAGTTCTGGCAGACGGTCCGCATTCACTCCCACTTTCCCATCTCCCCGGGGACACGGAAAATCTAGCCCAGGTCCTGAGAGGGAGCGGACATGGGGAAGTTGCAACGTGTCATGGAGGGGCAGGTGGCACTGAGTTCCAAAGGCAAGGTTTTTCCTGCCCAACGCAGACGAAGAGGAAAATCCTGCCAGGGAAAGCAGCAGCGTCTTTTCAGGAAAGTGTAACCGGGCTTGAAGCCGGAGGCGGGGAAGGCCTGGTAAGGAGAAAGGGTCTGTGCAGCGCAGCGTGGACTGTAGAGGGTATCAGGTTCCCTCCTCCGGGGCCCCTGCGTTTTTATTATGGAAAAATTCAAATACCAAGTCTAGGGTTTTATGAATCTCAATTCAATACTCTCTATGTTACTTTTGTTTTCTCAAGCTATCCCGAAAGGTCTGTCGTGTCTTGTTATTTTCATTATAATCTGCACATCTAGCAAGGGTGCGTTCTTGGCTGTGAACTTTTGTGGGGTGTGTTTTTCATATTCTTTTAAAGAAGGTTCTAGGCTCTTTAGTCAATTTTATTTCATCCTTGTACTTAACAGAGAAAAGCCAGGGCTGCAGTACCTGGCATTGACGATATAGTGTCTGTGCACAAGATGCCCTGGTCAGCGTGCCAGACAGAAAGAGCACATCTCCAAGACGATGAGCATTGTTCCTGTAGATTTAAAGCTGGGGTGTACGCAACCCGCACCAAACGCCAATGTCATGGTTACCTGAGTGAGTGGTTCCTGGTGAGATCAGGCTGACGCTCCTGTAGAATTTCAAAGATATTGGGTTGGCGCAGAAATGCAACAATCTTGTCATTGTAAGCTGAAAAGTCAAAAAACAGGACAACGTTTACACACAACCCATTATTAGTTTTGTGCATATGAACACAAACTTTAACAATCTGTTTTTCTGGTTAATATTCCTGGTACTCGAGCCACTACAGACACTTAAATTCCCCTCTGTGTCCATGCTGTTATGAACATTGGACTTAGATCTATCTGGGGTGACATTCTTTTACCATTCATTACACTCATTTGATGAGTCATATTTGTCAGCAAATAGCAAGGTGAGATCACCAGGATCCTCTATATTGATCATTTCAATCTGCTGCTTATCAAAATCAACTACCTAAGAAATAATAGGAATAGGAATAGGAATAGGAATAGGAATAGGAATAGGAATAGAAACAGAAATAGAAAACTATCTTCTGATTACATATGAGCCATGCAGCGAGGTGAAGCGGCAGACCAAGTCCCCAAAATGCAACGGTCGCCAGCAACAGCAACTACCAAAATGCAGAGAACAAGCCATTCCCAAACTCCACGTGGAAATAGATGCCATCAAGCCACACATAGCTCCTTACCAAACCAACTACATCCACACAATCAGCAACATCAACTATTTGTTAAGAGAAAACTGTATCTTAGCCAAGGTTGCCCTGTGCCCACAGAAATTTAAAAATCGTTACTTAAAATTTATTGAGGGCTTTTGTCATGAGGGCTTTTTTCTTTTATCAAGAAAACTCGTTTTTTGTTTTGTTTTGTTTTTGTTTTTACTTCAGATGATTCATCTTGATTACATTTATTTATAATCAGAATTATAGGCATATTTAGAAATCCTTCACAACTTGTTTTTCTCTCACTTCAACCATCGAAGGCCATGGCTCTACTCAGAGAAGGGGGCATTTAAAAATCTCCTCCTAGAGGGTTTTACAAGGCCTATGTGCTCTGAGATTCAGAGCGGTGTCTTGGGGCTGACGCAGAGTTCCTGAGTCCAGGGCAAGAGCAGCGGGCGGGCGGGCGGGCGGGCAAGGGGGCAGTGCCAGCACAGCATGCAGGGGACCGGCAGGAGCGGGACGCAGGGGTAGGGACTTCCGGGGAGGGGTGCCATACCCACTGGAACCATGTCCTGGTACTGCGGCCGGCTGACGGTGTTGAACGTGCTGGACGGCCTGGGAAGGACGGGCGGCCCCGCGTGCCTCGTATCCTCTCCTACCTGCAGACACAAGCACCACTCAGGCTCCGCACCGAGACCACGCGTGCCGCTATCCGCACCCCAGCCACGTTTTTCCTTTGGCTTTTTTTTTTTTTTTTTTTTTTGTGAATCCTCACCGGAGGATAGTTTTCCATTGTTTTTAGGGAGAGTGGAAGAGAGAGGGAAAGACAGAGAGAAACATCCATGTGAGAGAAACATTATCGAGTGGTCGGCTCTTGTACACATCCCGACCAGGGCCCGCGCTAGGGAGGAGCCTGCAACCAAGGTACGTGTGCCCCTGATCAGAATCGAACCCAGGACCCTTTGGTCCCCAGGCTGACGCTCTATCTACTGAGCCAAACCGGCGAGGCCTACGAGCATTGGTAGATTCCAACTGATCAGAAGGGATGCCAGGCGGGGGGAGCTGGCATGAGATCCCCAAAAGCTTTGCTTTCGTTGCTGAATGAGTGGAGGGGCGGGACCCGGGTCCTTGAGAGGGGCAGGGGCAGTGCCTGCTCACCACGTGGCTCAGGGGTAGCTCCATGTGCTCACAGTGACAGGGGCTGCAGGAGCTCAACAGCACGCGTGCTCAGCAGGGGTGCCTTCCAGCCCACAGAACCCAAACCGGCCACGGGACACGCAGAGGAAGACCCCCCAAGGGACACACGTATCACATCGCTACAGAGCCGGTGTGCCTGCCTCTGGCCGGCGGTCAGGGGATCCTGCCTGCCAGAGGAGGGGCCGAGGGGCAGCCGCCTCCACGTGGCTTCGGAGCTGTGGATTACCTGCTCAGGAGCGAGTCTGCTCGCCTGTCAGAGCGCCTGGCCCAGCAGCTCTTTCCGGTTTGACCCTCCCACGGGGGGAGCTAATCACAGCAGTTAGGTGTGGAGGAGCCAAATGAGGCTGCCCTGACCTGAATTAGCGATGGGGCCTGTGACAGACTCAGACACTCCTTCACACCAGCACACAAACAAAACATAATCTTGCCAAAATCAGTTTGGCTCAGTGGATAGAGAGCATCGGCCTGCGGACTGAAGGGTCTCAGGTTGGATTCCGGTCAAGGGCATGTACGTTGGTTGGGGGCACATCCCCAGTAGGAGGTGTGCGGGAGGCAGCTGGTCGATGTTCCTCTCTCATCGATGTTTCTAGCTCTCTATCCCTCTCCCTTCCTCTCTGCAAAAAAAATCAATAAAATATATATTTTTTAAAAATATTCTGAAGAGGAAACACCAACACTGCTTTCGCTCTGGGTGAGCTTCCCCGACCCCACTACCACAGGAGCCTTTTAAGAGGACAGTGGAGCAGGAGCGTAAGAGAACGAAAGGCAGAATAACATGCTGGGCCGAAACCGGTGTGGCTCAGTGGATAGAGCGTCCGCCTGCGAACTGAAAGGTCCCTGGTTCGATTCCGGTCAAGGGCATGTACCTTGGTTGCGGGCACATCCCCAGTAGGGGGTGTGCAAGAGGCAGCTGATTGATGATTCTCTCTCATCGATGTTTCTAACTCTATCTCCCTCTCTCTTCCTCTCTGTAAAAAAATCAACAATATACATATATATATATATATATATATATATGAAAAATAAATAAATAAATAGCCTATATCTGTCTTTAAAAAAAAAAAAAAAAGAAGAATAACACACTGGGTTTGTAAATCGGCACTTCGAAAACGGAGCCTCTCGGCCCACCCACCCAAAGCTGCACAAGCCTTTGCCACCTGGCATCAGAGCGGAGTTTGGTGAGGGCTTCTCTCAAGGCCCTGAAACTGGCAATGTCTCCCCACCCCGCACAGCGTGCTCACCCCCCGGAGGTTCCCGCTGTCCGTGTCAGCGGACGCCCCTCTTCCTCCTCCCCTCCCCCAGCCTCCCCTCCGGGACGCGGAGAAGAAGCGCGAGCCTCTCTGAGCGCCACAGCTCGGCTGCGCGCGCACATTTCTAACGGGGGATAGAGCGCTTCTCACGCGTGCTTTTTCCTCTGCACCGGACTTCCTTTCCTCTACTCCCTCCCTGGTAAGAACACAGGATGGGAACCTACGTCACTGACGCGGATCACTCAAACAAGCCCCATGAGGCCACGCTGCAGGTGCGGGGTCAGTACCGGCCGGTGGAGCGGAAGGAAGAGATGCCCCATGCCCCGCCTGCGTGTCTGCTAAAGGCGCAGAGGAGTGGGGCTGGGAGGCCCGGCCTGTGACTGAGCGGCTCTCACACAGCCTCTGGGGGCGGCTGGTCCCCCCATGAATCCCCACAGCTCACGATGTGGGGAGACTCCAGGGGGAACTGCACCTCATGTGTCGGTCACATTGTCATCCACAGACACGTTCCCTCCTGCCCGGAGGCTGCTGCTGCTGCCATTTCCCAGGACAGCGGAGGTCTCCCCACATACCCCCGCCCCAGCTCTTCCCACCTGGCGGCCACCCTGGGGGCCGCCTGAAGTGCACCTTCCCTTGGGGTGTCAGGACACATGTCCCCTCAAAGGCCAAACAAGGCGGGACCCCATGCTCAGTCCTTATGGGGTACCTCTCCCCACTGCTCAGTGCCCAGCAAGGCACAGAGCCATGGCCACTCAGATGTGAATGTGCCCCTTGGGGGCCCCTCTCCCACCACGGGCTTCTGCTAGCTCGTGGAGACAGTCTAGCTCATGGAAAGAAAACACGAGTCCAGCCATTCATTTCACACACACGCACACACACACACACACACACACACACACACACGCACGCATGCAGTCCCGTGCAGCCAGGCAGTCAGCCCCGTGGGGTGAAGTCCAGATAAGACGGGGGCTCAAGTGCACCGGCCACGGGGGCGAGTCGGGGCCGCGCCCTTGCGTTGCTCCACGTCGTGCACGGGTCCAAAGGTATGTCTGCCTGTCAGACGAACGCTGAGTGCATCCCCCACTTGGCCACGAACGGGAGGGCAAGGTGCAGATTTACTGGCCGCTCCCAAGGCACAGATATTCCTGTGGCGACCTCCTCCCGCGGTGGATCCTGTTTACACGCGCGTCTTGTGTACACGCCCGTGTCTGCGCTCACAGCCAGCACACACGCCGGTGCGTGAGAGCCAGTGTGGAAAGGGGGGAGAGGGGAATCCCAGGGTGGGATTTTGGTGTCTCAAGTCCCGTCACTCACGGCACTCATAATTGTCTCCTATAATAGAAGCTACATAGCTATGTGGCTTGCAACACCGTGCTGACAGCAGGGTAGGCCCAGCCATGTGGAAGAGGCGTGCAGGAAAGCACGCGGAGGTAAGCACGTCGAAGGGAATGGTTAGAAACAACGCATATGCAGGGAGGATATGTATCTAAAGCAGACGTCGAGTAAGGAGGAGAAATGTGACCTCCAGCACTCCCTTTCTTTATTTCGGCCTCCACAGAAGAGGGGCAGGAAGGGGGGTGACTTCTGCTTTTGGTTAGGCTGTTAGAGAGCCCTCGTGTGGCTGCTGTGGATCCCTGCACACTAGCCAAGCAGAGCTCCATAGAAATGTCAGTCATTCTTAATCCCACCCATTTTCTCTGCGCACTTACAGTGCACAAATCAGCTCTCGGATACACTCAACTTTAAAGAATACCAGTGAGTAGGAATGCCACAACCCCACAGCCTTGGCCGAAGATTTTCATGGAATCCAGCTAGCTTCCCTTAAGAAATCCCCTTACATTTTATCCAAATTCAGCCCACTCATAGTCCCATCCCTTCCTTCCTGGGAAGCTGCCCTTAGAGGGTCAAAAGGGGTCATCATCCCCACTTTTTCATAAATATTTTATTGATTTCAGAGAGGAAGGGAGAGGGAACAGAGCTGGAAATATCTGTGATGAGAGAGGATCATAGACCGGCTGCCTCACACACCTAAACTGGAGACTGAGCCTGCAAGCAGGGCATGTGCCCTGACTGGGGATCAAACCATGACCTCCTGATTCACAGGGCAACACTCAACCACGGAGCCACATCAGTCAGGCCACCATCCCCTCTTCACTATTTCACCACATTTTGAGTACTCTCTCTCACCCTCCTCTGAGTGTAAGAAAGCCTCTCGTTTCTTTCGTCTCCCTCCCATAGCCTGCTTCTCCTCCTGAGCACCTGGGTTCCACGAGTCTCCAAAGAAGCCCTGTCAACATCCCAGCACTGCCACCCTCCAATGAGCATCTCTAAGTCACACCAGGAGGGCGAAACAGGGAGGAGGAGACACACATCATCCCCTGGAGCACCCAGCAGCCCCAGTCGGGGGGTCCCAGGGTCAGCAGCCCCGATAGGGGAGGAATACCAGGGTCAGCAGCCCCGATAGGGGAGGAATACCAGGGTCAGCAGCCCTAGTTGGGGGAGGTCTGAGGGTCAGCAGCCCAGGTTGGGGGGTCTCAGGGTCAGCAGCCCGGGTTGGGGGGGTCTGAGGGTCAGCAGCCCAAGTTGGGGGAGGTCTGAGGGTCAGCAGCCCGGGTTGGGGGAGGTCTGAGGGTCAGCAGCTCAGGTTGGGGGGTCCCAGGGTCAGCAGCCCGGGTTGGGGAGGTCTGAGGGTCAGCGGCCCGGGTTGGGGGGTCTCAGGGTCAGCGGCCCCGGCCGGCGCCCCCGGTGACTCACCTCGCCCGCGCTGTGGCTGCGCTGCCGGGTCAGGTGCTGCCGGTGCACCAGTGCGCTCGTGGGCCTGCTGCTCTGCAGGGGGAGCCGGGGGTCGATGAACGTGGTGGTCCGGGCGTTGTGGTCAACAAAGAACGCCTAGGAGGCAAGACACACAGTGGTCAGCGCACGCCACACACTTCTCAGCTGACCTGCCACGTCTCACTTTTGAGCAATGGTCTTAACTACTCCATTTCCTCCTAATTTGGGGGAAATTTCTCCTTACCCCCACCCCCTCCACCAACCCCCAGAAAAGACCAAAACAGAGAAAGACATGCTTCAGTTGGATCTGGAATGAGGAGAGCAGGAGGGCACCGGATTCCTGGTTTTAGGAAATACTCTGGGCGACAGTCATCAAAGATAGGATCTCAGAAAGAAGTCACATGAGTGCACACTCGGGCTTCTCTTAACTGATGCTCTTTCAGCTCTTACTGCCATCCAGAATTACTCCGAGGCCTGGTCACCTGGGACTCCCAACGCCATCGGCTGCCTCTCCTCCGCAGTCAGCCACCAGCCCCCCACTTCCCACAGCAGCATCCCCTCTCTTCGTCCCGCCCCAGCCTGGCCACGGCCCGTTACTTCAGGGCCTTTTCTTAGGCACACAGCATCCCAGCTCCTCCGGAGACCCACAGCCCTGCCCTTCCTCACTGAGCGGGCACCTCAGGACCAGAATTCTTCTTTCTTTGTGCGCCCCGATTACACCCCGCTCCAATCCTGAGCCCCTACTGGCTGCCTATCACCTAGAGACGCAACATCCCACTCTCTGGCCAGTTTCCCAAGACTTTGAACTCTTCCTCCCTGCCTTCCGGATGCGCCACCAGTCCCTCATTCACACGAATTTTATCGGAGGCAGTGAATCCGGGCCCGCCGCTGAAGTTCTCTCTGCACATTCCTTAAATAAACATGTCTCCTTATTCATAACAAACACTTCTCTACCATAACAGGTGGGAGGACACCGTGCCTACTGTGTTCACGGCAGAATCCCCGGCGACATGAGGTCATGAATGAGCATAAACTACTTCCCTCGGTGCTGAGGGGAGGAAGGGCTGCATACCGTGTAGGGAAGCCACCTTTTTAATCTTCTTTTTTGTTTTTGTTTAATTCTGAAGATCAACACCTAGCGCTACTTATCACTGTCTTTCGGAGTCACATGGTAAAGTTTCCCAAGTGAAATTCACTCCAGGTGATAATGAAGGCCGTGACCTCCAGGACCATTAGGGAACGTAAGTTTCCCACGGTCAGGGACAGCTAATGAGGCCATCCACGAGGAGAGGGACGGTGGGGAGAGCCCGAGACTCATCACTCGTGCATCCAGGGCCAGGCCAGCTGAGACGGGCGCAGCAGCCTCAGCAGGACACCGGCTTCTCCAACGGAGGCGGCTGCTCGCCGAAGCAGCGTACACACGGGATGAGCATGCCCAGGCAGACCCCGGTGCGGACTGGCTCATGCCTACCCAGGACAGCCTCCCCGCCATGGAGCACAGCGCTCCTGTGCTCATGTGACCAGGAACAGAGAGCGGGAGGACCGGATGCAGGGAGTGCCTGGGCAGAAAGAAGGACTTCTTCCTAAAGAAGTAACGTCAAGGAGCAGGCGCACTGGAAAAAAAGAGCTGAGGAAAAGACAAGACGCGAATCCTGCCTGTGCCTCCTCTCCGTGTCCCTCCTCTCCATATCCGATATCCGATGTGCAGGTGACAAGGACGGGAAGGAATACATGGGAGTCTTGTAGGAGACGGTGTCGCCAGCCTCCCAGCCCCGGGCAATGCTCTCTGCGTCCTCCCCGGTCAGGGGACCACCTTCCTCCCTGGCTTATGGGAAACACACACCAAGGGTAACCCTAAACAGGCTTGTCTCGCAGACTCGGTCAAAGGTCACCACCCCCACACACACACACACACTCAGATTTCTAACATTCCTGCCACTATTCAAAATGTCATAAAGTAGGAACTGAACTATTTTTACAAGTGGACATTCAAAATAATCTATAATAATAAAAGGGTAATATGGGAATTAGACCGGACATCCTTCCGGAAGACCTTCTGGACGAAGCCGGGGCGGTGAGGGAAGCCCGGGTCCCGGGTGCCAGAGGGAAGCCGGTGCCGGCAGTCGGGGGAAGGAAGGCCTCCTCTTGCACGCATTTCGTGCATCAGGCCTCTAGTAGGTATGATAATTAACCCCATATCTACTTTATGTAAATTAAGATTCAGCTTCTTAATTTACATAAAGTAGACATGGGGTTAATTATCAAAATTGTAATGTGAGTAGTGTTGCTTAAGGGGAAACCAGAAGGAGGACTAAAATAGAATTGCCTGTTTACTCTACCTAATTTCTTGGGAATGTTTTGAAGGGGTGGGTGGCCGTTTGGCAGTAACCACGATGTACCTGTAATTACCGGGACACCTGGGTGTGCGCATCAGGGCAGCTCTGATTCACGTGCCGACTCACAGGATAATTGGATGTTCCCAGGCTCGTCTACAGAATCGCACTGTGATGCCTGGGGCCAGGGCTCTTTCTTACTCGCTCTGTGATCACCCCTAGCTTTGAGAGTTCCTCTAAACTGCCCCAAATGCTAACATGCAGACGCCTGACCGGCATGCAGGAAGGCAACTTACAATGAACTAATCAGGTAGAGAAACCCACGTTCTTTTACAAAAGCATAGAAATTTGCTTAAAGATTTGGAAAAATAAATGTGTGTGTGTGTGTGTGTGTGTGTGTGTGTGTGTGTGTGTGTTGGGTGAAAAGAATGAAGAGCTATAAAACCACAAATAGGATAGCACTGTGGTCGGCAAACTCATTAGTCAACAGAGCCAATTATCAACAGTACAACAACTGAAATTTCTTTTGAGAGCAGGAAACCGACTTCTGTGCATGGGCCATGAAGTTTCAACGGCACTGTACGTGTGTGCCTGCACATGGTATTTTGTGAAGGAGCCACACTCAAGGGGCCAAACAGCTGCATGTGGCTCGAGAGCCGCAGTTTGCCAACCCCTGGGATTGGATGCTTGGGACCTGGAAAAAGACAAGCCTGGCTGTGGGCTCCGGCTCAGCCCTTCCTAGAGACATAACCTTGGGTGAAACGTAACTTTTGAAAGCACAATTTCTTTTCTGTGAAATGGGGACAATAACCCCCACATCTGAGGGAGGTGGAGTACGGTGGTTCATATAAGTTGCGGAAGATAGTGCCCGTGAGCTGTTAAACATGAGTTATATCATCATGACTAACAATAAAGTTCTAACTTCCGAGACATTTTCCCGAGGACCGCCGTGGTTCTGGCTGAGAGAGTGGAGAAGGGGTGAAGCCATGCGCTCTGGGCTCCTTGTAGGCATGTGTGGCCCACACTATGTCTGGACGATGAGACACAAAGAGAGCGTCACGTGGTTATACCGGAAACCTCCTCCCCCTATCCATGGCGCATTTACAAGATCAGGCCTTCCCTCTGTCCTTCATCCATCTGCTCCCCGAAACAAGGGTGTCCTCGCCGGAGCCTCGGCAGCCGTGTGAAGCCATGAAGATGAGGAATGGCTCAGCACATCGCTGGAGGGAGCCAGGGCCCTGACAACTTGAGGAACCGCCTGGAAAGCCCCCGACTTCCTCTCTCCCGACTTCTTTATGAGAGAGAATGAAATCTTGTGCATCAAACCTTGTCTGGGTCTCGGCTACAAACCAAACCCTCCCTGGTACACTGAGGTCTCAGCCGGCGAGGCTCCGTGGCTGAGCGTCGACCTATGAACCAGGAGGTCTCGGTTCCATCACAAGCCCAGCTGCGGGCTCAATTTCCAGTGGGGCTGTGCAGGAGGCAGCTGATGACTGATTCTCTCTCATCACTGATGTTTATCTCTCTCCCTCTCCTCCTGAAATCAGTTAAAAAGTTTTTTTTGTTTGTTTGTTGTTTATTTAGAAAAGCAGCGATTCCTAGGCAAGCATTCTGGCTTTGCTCCGCCCACCGTGTGGTCTTCCGACAGGTGTCCTTGGCCTCTGCTTTATCCACAGGAAGGGACCCACACAGGTCGCAGGGGAGCTGTGGACACGCATCCCACTTTAACCTCGAGAGGAGGGTGTAGAGAAATCACTGCGCTACGCCCAGGCTCGCCACTTCTATTTCTGACACACAACTCAATCACGCCAGGAAAGTGGGTCCCCTCCCCACAGGATACCCGAACTAGTTCAAACCAGTGATGACACTGACCTAGTGCTTTTTTAAAAATGAAATTGGGGTGATCTTTGATGACACCATTCTTGAGTAGCCTGCCTGTCCCTATGAAAGTATCTAGCGTGTGCTGGCAAGTTCTGTCGGGGTGAGCAGCAATGTTGAGAACGTAGACTCCAGGAAAAAAGCAATGGTCTCAAAAAATGCATCCTTTTCAGAGTAGCCTCGAGCAAAGCAACTTTGAAGGACACGGACCTCCTACTGCTGCGTGTCATTAAGGCAATTCCCTCAAGCCACCCCGTGCTGGGCCAACTAAGACCCACACACAGTCCAAAGGAAAGGAATGCATGGACCCCAGCTGCAGTCTCACTTTGCAGCCCTCTCCCCGCTCCCTGCTCCGGGCCTGGTCTCAGGCAGGAGCCCAGGGGTATTTGGGTGAAGCCAAACAAAATATGCTTCTCTCTTTACACAATTCTTTTTTTTTTTAAGCTTCTATTATTTTAAGAAAAGAAAAAGGCCATCCGTAGTTATGGAGAAATACCAGCCTCAAGCACAACAAATCTTACTGACAGAAGTTTGAAATTGTCTCCAGTTAATAAACATTCTGCCAAACCAGAAATCCGTATTAAAAGACTGTGTAAACAAACAAAAAAGAGAAAAGAAAAAAACAAACAAAACAAAAACAAACCCAAACCACTTGTAACTATGCTACAGAAAGGGCATCAGACCCTCTCTCCCCCTTTCTCATAGGAGCCATGAAAACAATTTAAGAACAACAGTTTACAAGTCAGAAGTACTGGGCCATGAATCTGTCCCAACTTCCGGCTTCTCGGCTCTATAATGTCTTAGAAACGCTTAAAAAACTCAACTTTAATTTTTATAAAGATCATATTTATACATACATTCTCTTCTCCCTTCCAAAATATTTATTCTCAGCTCCTGGGTCCCCTT